GAAATTGAACGGGAAGCAATACTCCCAAATTCATTCCTGGAAGCAAGCATCACCTTGATCCCCAAAGCAGAGAAAGACCCAACCAAAAAGAGAACTATAGGCCAATTTCACTAACAAACATAGATGCAAAATCCTTAATAAGATACTGGCAAGCAGAGTGCTGAAGGTCATAGACTCAGACCAAGTTGGATTCATCCCCAGGACAGGGATGGTTCAACATACTCAAATCAATCAATGTAATACACTATATCAATAGAGCCAAGGACAAAAACCATATGATCATCTCAATAGATGCACATAAAGCATTTGACAAAATCCAACATGCATTTATGATAAAAACCCTACAAAAATCAGGAATAGACTCTCTCTAGCTGAATCTGATAAGAGCCATCTATGAAGAACCAAGAGCCAATATCATACTAAATGGTCAAAAACTGAAATCCTTCACATTAAAATCATGAACAAGACAAGGATCTCCACTATCACCACTCCTGTTTGATATAATTTTGGAAACATTAGCCGCAGCAATTAGACAGGAGAAAGAAACAAATTGAATAAAGATAGGAAATGAGGAAGTCAAATTGTCATTATTTGCCGATGACATGATACTCTATGTGGAAAGTCTCAAGAACTCCACAAAAAGTCTTTTAGACTTAATAACCAAATCCAGTAAAGTAACTGGATACAAGGTCAACACACAAAAATCAATAGTTTTCCTCTACACAAACAACAGACTCACTGAGAGAGAAACAGGGCAAACAATTCCTTTCATAAGAGCATCCAAAAAACAGAAATACCTAGGAATCAACCTAACAAAAGAAATCAAAGAGCTCTTCTTTGAACTGGATGAAACAGATGTTAGGTACAATTCTTGAAGACATTAGTGTAAGAAAAGATTTTATGAAGAAAACCTCAATTGCCCATTAACTAGCACAAACAAGCAACAAGTGGGATCTCTTCTTATTAAAAAGCTTCTGCACAGAAAGAGAAACCACCAATAGTGTGGTGACACAACCCACAATGTGGGAAAAAATTTTCACCTGCTGTTCCTCAGACACAGGTCTGCTATCTAGAATCTTTAAAAAAATCAGACCTCCCAAATTTAAAGACCCAATCCAAGTATGGGCATCTGAAATGAACAGATATTTCTCAAAGAAGTAGAAGTAGCAAATAAACATATGAAAAAATGTTCAACATCACTGGTCATTTCAGAGATGCAAATCAAAACAATGCTGAGATTCCACCTCACCCCAGAAAGAATGGCTGCTATCATGACATCAACCAATAGCAAATGCTGGTGGGGCTGTGGGGAAAGAGGAACCTTACTCCACTGCTGGTGGGAGGGTCAACTGGTGCAACCACTGTGGAAATTAGTATTGAGATACCTCAGAGAACTAGGACTGAAAGTTCCATTTGACCCAACTATTCCCCTGCTGGGTATTTTCCCCACAGTATGAAAAGAATCATATCACAGTGATATATGTGCACCCATGTTCACAGTAGCACAGTTTGTAATAGCTAATATTTGGAATCAGCCCAAATGCCCATCAACTGGAGACAGGATAAAGAAAATGTGGTTTTGTTATTAAATAGAGTACTACTCAGCCAGAAAAAAATGAGGAATTAGAGACATTTATAGCTTAATGGACGCATATTGAGGCCATTACTCAAGGGAAATAAATAGGACACACATGTCTAAATACAAAATAGTTTCTCTGTTGTGAGACTCTGAAAGTGTTAGGAATAAAAGTTATAATAAATAGATAATGTGAAGTAGGAAGAAAAGGGGCAAAGGGGAAGGGGAAGTGGGATGGTTATTGGAAAGGAAAGAAGGGAATGGAATTAATATGAGAAAATGAAAAAATGGAAACAAAGTCTTTGTAAATTGGGAGGGATGGAGGATTTTAAGGGAGGGAGGATTTTAAGGGAGGGCAGGGGATGAGGGAAAAATAAGAACCAAGAAAGATTATGTAAAGGTGCCAATTTCCAATGAAGAATGTCATTTTATTGTATACATTAAATGTACCAATAAAATTAAATTGAAAAAAAAAGAAAGTGGATGTCCAATGCCAATGCAACTGACAAAGGTAATGGCCTGTCCAAGCCACTGATTTTTATTAGTAATCAGTTGGGGTAAAGGTGAGCTATGTGCAAGGTGAGTACTATTTTTGAGGCTATGCATTTGTGTGGTTTCTATGGAAATTAATATAAACGAGTTCATAAAAGACAAGACAAAGCATTCACAAATAGGAACAGAATAGACAAAATATGTGGTTGTAATTAGAATACTGTCCTATTAGTTAGAAGATTTTAGTAGTGGGAACAGAATTTGGTGTGAGATACTCTGATCTTAGCAAGTAGGCTTCAGCCAGACTCACTTCTGAAAAGAAGCCAGTTGTGGGATTAACTGTTTACATCCTGCTTTGGGAAAAATTGATGTTACAGTCTTCTGCAAATAAATATTTTGTAAATGAGAAACAAATCAAGAATTGAAGGAAATAGGAGGAAAGTGGAGGGATAGGTGATGTAAAAGAATTAAAGGCTTTAATATGTATGTACCGATCCCTCATGATGTTTGCAGTAATTATATAGTGCAAATATCTACTAGTAAAAATTAAGAAAAATGAAGATACAGTCTAGTTAACATTTTATTGCAAGAAACCATTTTAGTTTTTTTCTTTATGGATAAATAGCACACATACATGTGCACACACACATGTATATATATTTTCTTTGTCAACTGATTAGTGACAGACAACTGAGCTGATTACATATTATTGTTATTGTGAATAGCATCACAATAAACAGATTGAATCAGGGATTTCCTTGGTATGACATTTTCAATTCTTTGGCATATATTCTTAGAAGTGAGATTGCTAGATCATCTGATAAATGTTTTCAGTTTTTTACTAATCTTAATAATTATTTTAATAATTTACATTCTCCCAAATCTTGTTGGAAAGTTACTTTTTCTCCAAATGCTACCAGTATTTGTCATTTTTTTAAAAAATGCCCATTCTAACTTGTATAACATATCTTATTGTTGTTTGACTTCCATCTATCTGATAGTTAATGATATTGGCCATTTTTCATTAACAAAACTTTTAAAAAACCTTATTGTGTTTTCTTTCTCAACCTTAGGAACCTGTGAAATTTGTGGATCTGCTTGGTGACCATGGGAAGCCTATCAACCCTCTGTGGGAATTGATTAAATGGTGCTTTGGTGTGTCAGTGTATACTATTCCTTCCATTGGTATGTAGATCAACTTCTTTCCTAGGCCATTTGATGTGTTTGGGGAGGAAAGTGCATTCTACCAAAAGTGTTCTAATGAGAACTACTCCCACAGTTTGATGAAATCTACAACTATAAATAAATTAATTAACACCAACAATATTCTGATCAATCCCTATGTGCAAATCACTGTCCTTTGAAATGCATTTATTATGTTGACAATTTTATATGATTAACAACCATAACACAGTAAAGTTATATCACTCTTAGTTAAGGAACACTCTTCTAACACTGGTATTACAAACTAAAAATATGTATTGTTTTCCTATGTGTTATATCTCAATAAGAAAATGTAAAATTTGGAATATATATTTGATGTTTTGAACTTAGAAATAGCCTCACTCTTGAAAATTTTGTGAATTAACCCTACCAAAATGTCGATTACTGATAATGTACAACAAGTTCAGTTTAGCAACTTCAAAAGTTAGTTTTATTAATGCACAAATATTACAGAGTTGATGACTTTTTTGATTTCAAAAATTGTTCATTGAGTGTCTGATTGCCAGAAATTAGACTTTTTAAACCTTTGCATGTCATCCACTTAAATATTCAAGGGAGCAAGTCAGATAATATAGGTATTATTATTTTTTATGTTAAACTAAAGCTAATAGAAGTTAGGTTAGTTATTTAAAACTGAAGATTAATCATAAATTTTGTAAATGCTACCTAGCTTGTCTTCCATTCTGTTTGTACCATCAGAGGTTCATTTTTCTTGAATTTAAAATGAAATTAATAAAGTATTGCTACTTACGTATTTTAGTACATTCAAAAATACACTTCATTGCATTTTCTTGCCAGTTAAAAGGGATTGTGCTTTAAAAGCATGTGAGATACAGCTCAATGCTGCATGTTCTGGAAATTTTTATGTTATTAATAAATTTAGAAATTGATCTTAGAAGATTTAAAGGCTCAATAAATGAAAAATATTTTGTTACTTTATTATCAGCACAAAGTTCTATTTTATGAAGTGGCAATTATTAGAAAGTGTTGTGTTGTGTTTTCAATAGCAATGGTTCTCTTATAGCACCAAGAAAATACATTAACGACAAGGAGCATTTGCAGCATTCATTTGAAAGTATCTTTCAGAGTTAAGTTCCTTCAAAAGAGTTTTGATGACATTCTATTCACTAATATTCTCACTCTTATGTTTAGTCATAAATACTGAATAAAAATAGTATAGTGATATGAAGTCTTTAAACAACTACTGACTTCTTTGATACTAGTTTAACCCAGACAAAACTCATATTTTCTCATGCTAAATAATATAAATTTTTATCCCTCTGTTCTGGAGTGATACCTAAGCTGGTATGTTTTTGGATAACCAATTAAAATAACAAGCCCAAATAGAAGTAACAATGAAGTCTTTTTCCCTCTAAAAAAAGACAAAACTATAGAAGGAAAAAAATCCCTGCCCTGTCTGCCATTTTCCCTCATGGAACATTATTTGACTGAGGAAGCCTGGTGTGGTGGTGCATGCCTGTAATCCCAACACTCTTGGAGGCTTAGGGAGGAGGTTCACAAATTGAAGCCCCGTCTGATCAATTTAGCAACTTATAAAGACCATATCTCCAAAAATTTAAATATAGGCTGGGGATGTAGCTCATTGTAAAGACTATGAATTCTCTAAAACAGACACATACTCACTCAAAGAAGATGTTTGAATAAGTACAAAGGAACTGAAATTATCCCCTGTATATTGTCAGACCTCAGCATAATGTAATTGGACATCAATAGCTAAAGAAACCAGAAAAAATTAATAAACAAATGAAAACTGTGCAAAACACTTCTGAATAACTAATGGGTCACACAGTAAATTAAAGAAGAAATCACAGAGCCCGCTGCAGACAGGCAGGTCTGCGCACACCCTACCAAGGCCCCGAGTCCAGCAGAACACACTGAATCAGCCCCGACCCCAGCAACAATCCACTGGACCCCACCCCCGCTCCTCTGTACAGCCACCTGGTTCCACACTACCAAGACCCAGAGGACAAGGGACCACCAGACCATGAGTCTCACTGCTCCTGGCCCAGAGGTAGGGGCTCCAGAGCCGCCATCCCACTGCTCCTGGTCCAGAGGAAGGGACTTCCTGGCCACCATCCCTCCTGCTGCTATCAGCCCAGAGGAAAGGACTTTTGGGCCATCTTCTGTCCCGCCACTCCCAGCCCACAGGAAAGGGCATTTGGGCCACCATCCCTACCGCTGCTAAAGACCCTTGTCCCACCTCTCCCAGCTCAGAGGAGGTAATCCATGAAGGTGCCAACAGCCCCCCCCCATCGAAATGAGAAAACACATAAATAAGTCTCAAAACCAGACTTCCAGATCACCTACAG